GTGCTGTTTAAAATATAATTTTGAGGTTGGAGTTTGAGGTCTGATATACACCCACAGGTAAGCTGTCGGAAAGTGAAAAGTAGATATACGTAAATTACTCTTTTCCCTTCATTCGATATTTTTTTAAGATTTAAAAACTGATTTGCTTAGAGATGTAGTCGAGTATCAACTAATAGACGATATTTAACGAAAATTTTCGAGCGTTGCGTTGAAAAATTTTTTGTAAGTTATCATACCTAAAAATAAGTATCACGGATAAATTGCTCGATAATTTTTTTTTTTTATGTTAGTGGACGAACGTAGGGTCAAGAATTTTTTGTAATTGCTCTGGTTAGCCACATACGTTGGACGATTTTTTGAATTTTTTTTTTATTTTTTAAAAAGTACTGTATAAACATTTTAACCTTAAGAAATACGTACAAATGATGAAAACTGTTGATCAAAAGATATGTTACGCGAAAATCGTGGGACATCGACGCCTCGGTCAAACAAAGCGCTTACTTGCTATAAAAATTTTCAAAATGGCGTGTTCTCTGACCGTAGCGTCGATACATTATAGTGTTTAAGTTTACTTGATTAGTTGAAACAAAAAAAAAAAATCTACTTAATGAAAATTACGTTAAAGCAATGATGTTTGTCATGAAACAACGTAAAAAAGTATTTCCGAAATATTTTGGCTACATCAAAGACAAATAAAAAATTATGGCTAGTCATACATAAATTATAACATTTTTTTTTTACTACTAAAATTACAAAATACTTAAAAATTAATGTATTAACTGAACCCATTTTGGTTTTCCGACAAACCTTATTTCGTGTCAGTGGTAGTCGAACATTTTTTAAAATCCTGCCACAATTAAAAATTTTTTGGTTTAAATTTAATTTAATAACCGTAATAATTGAGAAAATAATGGGTAACAATTGTTAAATTACATAGGTCGAGGAGGATTTACGCAACGTACCAACTGCTCTCAATTTGCCAAAAAAATAATCCTTTAACGAAACGGCTCTTTGAAATTACAAATAACATGGGTAGCAGTGGCAACAACGAGGAGTACAACGGCTGCAATGGTAACCGCAAAAACGAGGAAAAAGCTAGTGTAAAACCCAAGACTTATAAAAAATGCTCGATTTGTCGTAGAAACACGAGCTACCCGCCGAATACCAGGAGAAGTGTTGTTTGCACCAATTGCAGGGCAGCCAGAAATTGTGCGAGATGCCTCGAATTTTGCATCTACAATCTTTTGCAGAAGCCGCCCTTCAATCAGTTACTGAATGTTCTATAAATGCATGAATCTGTATAAATAAAGTTTCATACATTCAACCGCAAAAACATGACTGTCGAAGCAGGGGAAAATTTTTTTTCAACACTTTTCCATTCTTTCAGCATCAGCACAATAACATTTGAAACCGTTTATATGATAAAAATAACCATTCGTGAGAGTGAAATGAATGAGACAATATTTAAAAAAAAACTCCCATTGGATTCGATTTAGACTTTTTGAGATTAGTGTGCACTGCATATACTTAAATTCAAATAAAAAAGTTTCGTTTAAAATAATGCAAATATTTATTTTTTGTAAAAGAGGACACGAATTGTCGTGAAATCGGTACCGCGTTCAAGGAGCAATAAATTTGTCACGAGTTGAAAAAAAATTTTTTTTTTACAAGCTCAATCTTTGGATTATCGTCGCTTTCTCGCGTGTGGATGTATGCAGGCCACGTTCATAATGTTCGCGAAAATGACTCGAATTAAGCGCGAGAAGTTCGAGAGAAAAAAAAAAAAAGCCCCGTTTTATACTGCTTTAATGGCTCGTTTAGTGCGTCGTTACGGAGATACTCGATAAAACGGGATTAATAAACGTCCGTTCGTATGAAAACAATCCATTATTCATCAAAGCGAAAGGTATAGCGCGGATGCGCCATCCACTGAGTTAGCCTCGCAAGCGTGAATTTGACTTGGCTGAAAATTTCTCTTTTACAGGTATACTTACATTGAAAAAAAAAAAAAAAATTTCATCAATACAAATACACGTCAACAATGTTAAATTTGTTTGGTTTGTAATTATTTATATAATGTTAACGTTCATTTGGATTGACACAATTTTTTTTATCTCATGTCTAAAATCAATTAAACTGAAGAAAAAAGGGCGCCCAACTCGCGTGTAATGTAACATACTAAATATTATTGCACTCACAGCAGAGATTGTCCAATTGATTTGCAATCCGATTTATCACAACAATATGCGTAAACGATTTTTCCGTGTTTTGCGGAGGAAAAAAAAAAAAAAAACAGAAACAAACAGTTACAGCCTTTCATAAGCAGCGTCGGTTAGAATTTTTTGCTCTTCGAGCTGTAAATATAGCTGCACCGCGACGATCGATCGATTTATCGATAGCAGCCGGCGCGTGTACACGAAAGTCAATATACGTGTAATTCAGCCGTTTACAATGAATAAATTATCTCTGGACGCACAGGTGCGTGCGGACAAAAGAAATAAAAGAGACACAAGTGTGCACCCATGGGGCAACAAACGGAGCGCTGATGCAGACGCGATCGACACGCTCGATTAGACCGTGAATTACATATAGTGCTATACACGTCCAGGATGTTGGACCGTACTATTATCCATGCACGCACGGGGTCGATGGTACCAGTCAATTATCGAAGTGAATTTATTCGAGGGTCTCTAGGGATGCCTCTTGAAGTAAAAAAATCGATGATACCGATCGATCGATCGATGCTCAATAAAATGCCCAATTAAATACTGTCTCTAGTAAATTAAGCGTTGCATCGAGTTGTGGAATTTCCGAAAATAACTTGAGCGCAGAAACACAATTGATGATTTACCACGAGTCGGTTTGATTTTCTTTCACGCGCCGTTAGGTACAAGTGTTACAAATTATTTTCTTTTCTTTTCTTTTTTTTTTCCTTCGCACACGACTCGATGGCTTTTCATTAAAATTCAAACCCACGAGTTTCGATTTATCGAGTACGGGTGTTATTAATGCGGATCGCATTAGCTAGAAATAACATCATGATACGGTAAAGAAAAGCTCAATCTTGTTATTTATCGGTTTCCCATAATCATTAACACAAGTAGTAGTGACCTCATTGCAAAATGCACTCGGCGAACAAGACATCAATGCGTCAAACTCGCGAAGCGATACAAGTTCCAGGCGCGATTAAGATTATCCCGGCACGAGCCATTAAACGGTATGTTTATAGGACGTTTTCATTATCGCGCCGATGCGAATGCAAAATCAGGCACGAAAGCATAAAAAAAAAAAACCACACTCGACCCCCTCGTCGTTGTGCACAATATAATTAGAAATACTTCCTCTGACGAGCGAAAAAAAAAAATCGGTAATGGCTTATCGAGAAAACGCCATTATTGAACCCCACCTTCGCCGCGTACGCGCTTCATTATAATTTCGAAGCTTTCCGCGGGAGCAAGTCCGACGTCAAGGCCCCTATCGCGCCGCTCATCTAAATTAGCCGCTTTACCTCCGCGGCGCTTATAATCGAAGCCGATTTTTCACGCTCGCTCCTCCCCATATATTTCCCGAAACGCGTCTTCATCGACAGCCTCGACCCTGTTTTTTTCCTTCTCCCGCGAAAATGCAATTTCACCCGAGTCTTCATTAATTTTCAAGCAGGTATTTTCCAACGCGTGCAACCGGGTATGTTCAAGTACAAACTACCGAATAAAACCTTGTAACAGCGAGGGTCTGCAATGCACGTAACAGCGAGGAATTAATGACTTAATAAATGCGCTTTCAAACAGTGCACCCGCAGAGAGCAAACATCGATTTCAATGAATCGCCACGTATCGATCGGTTTGCGATCGGTAAGAGTAAACGTCGACAACCACAGCGAACGGAGGAAAAAAAAAATAGAGGACTGCGTTACACGCGAGATCGGATCATCGGCGAAGGGGCAGATGAAGAAGAAAAAAAAAAATAAATAACATCGAACGAGCGCGACATTCTTAGAGCGAGGTAAGTATGCAAGCGCCGAGTCGACGGCTTAATTGAATGTATTTCTTTTTCTCGCGTCCGCCGAGTATATATACACACACAAAACGAAATCAATCTCTCTCTCTCTGGGTATACATATATACGGGATGTACGATCTCTTTTATACGCGCGTACACCACCTACTTAATACACGTTGTGTATATATTTCGCATTTGGTGCAAAAAGGAGGTCCACGAGAGGGAAACACGTTTGCGCCGATCGAAACCCGAGAACACGATTGCCTTCGATCGGATGATCTATACCGGCCTCTTCGTGCGCTGTTCGAGCAGCATTGCGGGATGGCAAAAAGAAAGGCGTCATTGTAACTTTAGTCCAATGCCTCTTAATGGAGTCCTTTGTCCGAGAGATTCTTCTGGCGCGATAGCGCGTGCATTTTTCTAACGGGGAGGGGATCTCGGGACGCTAAAGTGATCGATCTCAGCAGATTCGGAGATACCGTGCCTGCGGAGTAAACAGAGAGGCTATCGATTATATTTCTTTTTCTTCTGCATTTCTTGTTTATTTTGAGCTTTATTTCTATTCTCGGTGATACAAGCGCTCTTAATACTACGTAATTATGCGTTTTGTTTCCTGTCGGCTTTCAAAGAGCTTGGCTACGCTCAACGTTAGAATATATATATATATGTGTGTATGTATAACTGGTCTTATTTAAAAATTTTTTTAAAAAATTTACAAAAGTCGATAAAAAATACCTAGATTCGCAATCACAGGGACACCTAGCTTCGGAAGGACGAGATATTGGCTTCTCCTCCTCCTGGAAGAATTATCCACACGCGCGCTGCATCCGCGCTGTAGACGAAAGGTAAGGTGGATAACGACTTGATCACCCGCTGCACTTTCGAAATTCTTCTTCTTTTTTTTTTTTTTTTTTTTAAATTCTTATGAAATATAATCAAAACTTTGTAAAATCTGAAAGTAGCAAAACATACAGCCAAAGTGAATAACAATATTTTCCATCGTTTTCTCTTCTTCTCAAACTTTATAAATGTTTCAATGGAATTTTAATTTTTTTGTTTATAGTTGGACTCTAAAATATTTTCGAAGCCGTATGAAAATTATAAATGTGTGTACCTATTGTACGTGAAAAACATGGACGTTTCTAGTTTCTATTTCTGACGGTACTGACGGACTATTTCAATTAACATACAATTTGATTAATACAACGTCGCATCGTATGACTAAAACTGGCATTCGGTGAAACAAACTAATTCTTGCTTGGCAGAGGCATTATGCCGATTGCTTTGCCATCACCCTCGTTGTGGAGGGTGAGTCCTAGCTCTCGCAGAACTACGCTGTCCACTGTTCCGATTTTCACCATCTTGGAGACGACTTCTTGGTTCTCGGAATTGTTTTCGAGGACATTTCTCGTGGCTAAGGTCGTCCACTGTATTATTACTAAGACATTTTTACGATGTAAGGAAATTCACTCAATATCAAGTGTATTTTTATACTTGGGATTTTTTTCTTTGCAAAGGATACATGGATTTCTCGCATCAAGATTGCAGCAATCGAGCAAGAGAGGAAGCCCATCTAATTCACGTACCTAAAAGAAATTTTTTTGTTCAAATTCTGAAACGGAATAAATTTACTTGGTCTGGTATTGAGTACTTACGAGATTTTGATTTTTTTCATGCTTATGCACTAGATTACCAATGACACGTATCACACCAGCTTTGAAGCCAAATGCGGGATGAGACTGAATTTTTTTGTGAAAATCGTTGTTGGAATCTTCAGTTTCATTACCATTTTTGTTAGCAGCTATAGCTAAATCGCTTAGTTTTTGCAATGGGGTGAAACAATTGTTTGTTTCTTTTCCCGCCATATGGACGGCTTTTAACAAATCTAAAAATTTGTATAACATACAAGTTAAACTTTTTAGAACCAAAGAAAGTTATCAAGTTAAAAGTACTTACAAATACAGTTAATTAAAAGACTTTTATCCTCCTGAAGTCTTTTGCATTCCTCTAAATGCGAATTAGATGTCAATACTCCCAAAATGTCCAAAAGTATGGTGACCTCTGTAGGTTCCAAGTTCTTCACGTGAGTATCAACCGTTTTTAAAATTAAATCACTCTTTTTCTTGAAATTATCAGCCAAGAATTCAATAGTTTCAATTGGCATGACATAAGCACCATGGTTGCCCTCATTGTAAGCAACTGAACGTACTTCTTGGTGAATAATGTCAAGCAAATATAATCTGTCATCTATGCTTACTTCCTCATAAATATCTTTCAAATAATTCGGATCTCTGAGTAACAAAGTTATCGTGTCTAACGCCGCTTGAATATCTGATATGGTTGATTTTATCAGTTCAGTGGTCAATTTCTTTTTATCAATAGTTGGATAAAATTCTTGGAATAGCTGCTTCACCATGTTATGAACATAGGCACAGGCTGCTCTGGCAATCGGAGCACGATCGTGACCAACGAGCTTACTAGAAAATTATGTATTCATTTGTAAAGTAAGATTCACAATTTGAACAAGAAAAATTTCCTGGGTACACTTACATGATTGTATTTTTAAAATTCTGATCCTTGACGCAATCCAGTATAACATTGGCGTTTGAAGAAATAGAAATATCAAAGGCAAATGTAAAGTAATTGCACAAAAATTGAATGCTCAGTCTCAAGACCTCGGTTTGTTCCTCGTTCAATCTTTTGCCATCCGCAGCATACTCAGAAACAGTTTTAATGGACCACCTGACAACACCATCGTAGGGAAAATTAATGTGGTACGGATATAAACTTTCTTTGTTCCATTTTGAGACTTCTTGGGACAAATATTTGTAGATATTTTTATGGGCGACAGAGTCCTCGTTGTCATTTAGTGGATATTCTTTCTCTATGTACCCATTGACACAAGAATTGGCCAGACACTTGAGGAAGACATTTTTAAGTTTTTCGGGAAGATCTAAAGACTCGTCTGTCAAGAGTTCGGCAACTTTGACCAACTTGACAAAATCACTGAGCAACCTAGGGATGAAAAGTAGTAAAGTACACAGTCAACCACCTTGGTACCTACCAGGATTAACATTCTTTGGCACGCTTATTTATTCTTACCTCGGTATATCACTGCAAAAGTCTTTAGGTTTCAGTATTGTCAGCAAAGCATCCCAGTCTTTGTTCTCAGCAGATGCAATCAACCTCTCGGTGGACTCCATCATTCACGTTGTGTTTACACGGCAACACTAATTCTAAGTACAAGAAATACAAACGAGCATGTGAGTAAAGTTGCAGGCATCATAATATCCAAGTAAACACGTACCTACTCACCGTAAACAAACAAAAAAGTAACTCACAGGAAGCGAGTCGTCACCATCTCCCACGCATATCTCGTCTCCTAGGAACGAACTAACGTGGAAATATCAACCTTTTTCTTGAACAATTAACACGAAACAGATAGGTACGCAAGACTAAAGGTAAAGACTACCGGTGTTTCACCTCAACAAATCTCTCGACAATCTTTCGAGGGGGTAGTGCGCGTCGTGTCCTCGTCCTTGTGCGCAGACGCCATTTGCAGCCGGTCGAAATTTCCATCCCTCGTCGTCCTCCTCCTCCTCCACCTGATGTTTGTTTTTACACTCTCCTCTCGCCAGAGCGGCTTCGCGGCGCTGTCTTCGGTTTCCGTGACACTGCGCTTGCTTGCCCGACGACAGATTCCTTCCTTTGCTGTGTTGTTTTTTTTTTTTGGTGACCAAGTGCAACTTGTTTTTTTAGTTAAAATTTCTAAAAGGTAAGTTTTTTAGTTTTTTGAGGAGTGAAATAAGGCTCTAAGAGCCCTAGACATGACAGTATATATTTAGTTTCGTGAGAACTGTGGCAGTGGTTTTGCAGTGTCATTGTCGGCTAACCTCTACCGTGCTTTTGTTGGATTTGCGTTTGACATTTCAACGGACGATTTGACATTGATTTTCTTGTCCGTAATGATGATATACAAATTTATTTTACGTTTTATATGAATACTTTATGGAGTCTACAGTGTGTATTTAGGCCACTATGATTTAGATCAAAAATCCACTATAACCTTAAAATTTTGAATTTAAATTTTTGGAGTTATCAAAACTTTTTGATGTTTACCTTGATTTAACGTCATTTTCGCTTTGCAGATGTTCCTGACACGCTCCGAGTACGATCGTGGTGTGAACACCTTTTCACCGGAGGGCAGGCTCTTCCAAGTTGAGTATGCAATCGAAGCAATCAAACTCGGCTGGACCGCGATTGGCATTTGTACGTCCGAGGGAGTAGTCCTGGCAGTTGAAAAGCGCACGACGTCCTTCTTGATGGAGCCGAATATGGTGGAAAAAATTGTCGAGGTGGACAAGCACATTGGATGCGTATCGTCCGGTTTGATGGCAGATTCCAGAACAATGATCGATAGGGCAAGGGTAGAGTGTCAAAATCACTGGTTCACCTACGACGAAAAAATGTCGGTTGAATCTGCAGCACAGGCCGTTTCTAATCTGGCCATTCAGTTTGGGGATAGTGATGACGATGGTAGTGCAATGTCCAGGCCATTTGGTGTGGCACTTTTGTTTGCCGGTATTGATGAGAAAGGGCCCCAACTGTTTCACATGGATCCTTCGGGAACTTTTATTCAATTTGATGCCAAAGCTATTGGTTCTGGTAGTGAAGGAGCACAACAGTCACTCCAGGAAGTTTATCACAAGGTACCGCATTATGCTATTTAATTTAAAACTTGATGTATTTACAAGAAAAAACATACGTTATATTTGATTAATCAACTAAACACTTTTCTTGTAGTCAATGACACTAAAGGAAGCAACGAAAGCAGCGTTAAAAATATTAAAGCAAGTCATGGAGGAAAAACTTAATGAGAAAAATATTGATGTCATGACTATGACACCAGGAGCGTTGTTCCACATGTTTACAAAAGAAGAACTCCAAGAGGTAATTCAGGACATTGCCTAAGTATAGAAATATTTTTTTAAATATATTTGCACAATCAAGTCACCTACTCAAATCAACGTGCTCGGGGTGCAGCTGGTCAGTGCAGATGAATCATACTTGCCATTTGTTGGCAAAAAGTATCTTGGTTATACACAATTTTCTTACGTTTTACTTCAAAAAAACAGAATCGTGAAATAAAAATCATTGTAAGATTTCGTAAACAATCAACGATACGTTATTACCAGTTTTCTATCCTAGTTCAGTCAACATTCTATGTTTTTTTTACAATTGATTAATCTGAACCTCTCAGTTAATTCAAATTTTATTTAGTTCATTTTGCTCATTCATATATTAACATTTCATTTGATGTGATTTGATACAGGTAATTGCCAATCTTCCAGAATCCAGAGATGAGTCCTTGAGAACACGATCCGACGCTTCACGTCCATCTGTCAAATCATTAATATCCGTCAAAAGCCAATGAACTCCTAGTATCCTTGAACGTCTTCCAAACCGTATTTGTATGTTTTCATCTAACTCTGAATTCCAATTAATTTATCTAACATTACATTCATTACATAGTTATTTTCATTTGTAAACAGTAAATTACTCACAAGAGTAAAATTTTTAGAAATAATTAAACTCTTTTTATAACTGATATAACATTTTTCAACTCGAAAATTGCATGTAAGTATAGAATACCTTCCAATTTTTTGGAACGAAAAATAGTAATACGTTCATTTTTTTCTCTAGTAATATATAAAGAATATAAAGGAATCGCGTACAGCCTTCAAGTCGCACAATCCAAACTTGTAGCATATTAAGTGAGTTTTTTATTAGTGGAGTTAATTTGAACTATTGAGTCAGTAAAGCGTAATTTTTAGCTCTAGGGGACAAACAAGTGGTTTGAAAATTGTCAATTGAAAAAAAAAAATCCAACTTGGGAAGTAACAAACGTTATTATATTCATCGACCTTTTCCTGAAAAATGATAACTTCAGTTACTCGCACAGACAAAATTAGCCTGACTATGAAAAAGAGTCAAACGTAATTGCACCGAATATTCTTTTTTCTTACAATCACCAAATAAGTGACTAGATCTACTAAAGATAAGTGCAATCAGTTTCGATAGTCATGAGTAGTCCTTTTAATTTAATTGTCCATTTCAGCCTAGCATATTTAAGCCCAAGAAATAACGAGACATCCAAAGCTTCGTTTAAATCCCTGCCACGAGCCTCGATCAATTCACGTCACTTAACCGATAACGCAAATAAATAAACGCCCGAGCGACTCGTACGATTTTCTCCTTTCTAAAACCAGAGCCCAACTTTCTTTCGAACAACCATCGGAGCGAGAGACAAAGGCTCTTGCTTTTATTTTTCCCGAAGTCGATGAAAAAAAATATCCCACCACGAGCGAGATCGAATCTCGAACGGAGTCAACCTCGCGAAACGTCCCATAGCTGTTGAGAGGGAAAAAAAACGCCAATGCGTCAGAGTGTAACACCGGTGTGGCAGCGCCCGGGCCCGTGGAAAAGCTGTATCCGAAATCAATAATTAATTTCGACGCTTCGCGCTCGCCCCCCCCCCCTGCGATGCCGCGATAAAAGGTCACCGGCGCGCTTTTCGCTCTCGTGCACGCGTCGCCAGAGAGGGAGAGAGATTATTGGATATTACTCCATTTCCGAGCTTTCAAACCTACCCTATACCATTCGGATGGGTTATATCCACCCCCTACCGAGGGAGGGTTGAATGGAGGAAGCTGGCGACCGGTGATTGGCGCTGGGCGGGGATGCCACGAGGACGCGCTTAAAATAGATAAGCCCCCGCCCACCAACCCCCTCCCCCATACCCCTCCGAGGTCTAGCCGCGCGACTTGGGTGTACATCGCATAAGACTCGGAATTTCGCACCGCCACGCGCAAGGAGAGACGGTTGCTTCGCTTGTCCCGCAACGTATTTGTTTGATATACTGCTCGCGTATAAAATTATTGCTCGTTTTTTTTTTTTTCATCATAAATCTTCACGGAAAGCGTATCGCTCTTTTTGAAAGTTTTTTTTTGTTTTTGTTTTAATAATCATTAACAACTCTTATCCGCAAGGCTGTTTTTGTCATATCTGGGGTTTTCTTTTGTCTTTGAAAAATTACTCGCCAACTTTGCACTTGTAATATACACATGGATGGGCAATAATTTATCGAGTTTGAAGTTGGAGCCAACGCATCATATAACGCGCAGAATCGTCACTTTGGTCGGTCGAACCCAGTAATTTGTCCTCCCGCAATTACACGAAAACAAACTTGTTTCTAATTACACGGTAAACACGCGCGTACTGAATTAGTTAAGCTCGGGCTGTACGTATATACACGTTTAAATGATTCCTGGGGGGGGGGGGGGTAAAAATATATGGCACGAGCACACGCGCGATAATTGCTCGTGAATTTTACCATTTTTTACTTTGGAAAAACCAAGTGCGCGTACAATATATACAGCCAAAGGTGAAAACTATATATCGTGCAACATAATATCATTGTATCTGAGTTTGCCTTTTTTCCCCTAAAAGTAATAAGGGAGGAGGGTAACAGCAATCGACGAAATGAGATGAAGGATTTTTTTAATTGCAAAGTTATAAACACGATGCCAAGGTTGTAAAAAAAAAAAATTGCGAAATTCAATTTTCGCAAACTGTGTCCAACGGCTCTTACCGGCTTGCGGGGCTTACGTAAATGCAAAATGCTCGAGCTTTCTATTGAGTAACCATACGTGTTTATCAGTTATTTCCTTTTCCTTTCCTCCTCCGCTCTCTCCCAATTTTTTTTTTTTTTTCCCTTATTTTATTAGGAAACGACTAATTAAGCCGCACAAAGTGTCGCCCGTCACATTTTACTTTATTCGACCGTTGCACAAACGATATCATAAATTATAACTCATCGGTGGGGGGGGGCTTGTCGCTATTTCTTGCGGCACCGTGGAAATTTTCAATTTCACCGCAGTGGATTGTGAAAAAAAAAAAAACCATGAATAAAATAAAAATTCGCATGTACACATCAATTTCAATGGAAATATAATTGAATCACAGAGTGGCTCAATCTGTAGACACGATTGTTGGGTGCTGCTTTTAATTGAGGCGTCGCGCGCCATCCTAGTGAACTCCTTGGCAAACTATTGCGATGAAAGTAAGGTTCCTTCAGCTCCTCTTGGAGTGTCAAGTGAAAAAGTTAAATTCAACGGCGAAGCAAAATACGGAAGTGGGAGGGGGGGGGGGAAAGCCCGAACCGAAAGCCAAGAGATAAGAAGGGGGGAAAAAAGTGACAAAAAGTAAGAGTCCCATACCCCGTAAGTTGGTATTGGTGTGCGGGGCATGGAACGCAAGGCGAAGCGTAAATGCCACACACGGATGCGCGAGTGAGTGGTGGGCGTACCTATATAGAGCAGGAAGAAAAGGACTCTATCTCTCACTTCGTAATTAACTGGGATAGTCCCGTTTGAGTCCTGAGAATCCCCCAGAGTGGAAGGGGGTAGCAGAGGGATCTGACCTGCTGCTGATGGTTCGTATCAGACAGCCGACACTCGGCTGCTCTCTCTCTCTCTCTCTCTCTCTTTACGTTCGAGTTTCGCTTGCCGGCGATAATTGACTCTCGCTTTGATGCCGCTGCGGCTTCGCAGTTGCGCCTATAATACCCATCCCGCGCTGCTATCGCGCCGCGTCTTTGTGGCCCTTCCTTGTCTCCCTCTTTCTTTCTTTTTTTTTTTTTTTTGTTTTTTTTCTCCACGCGCTCGTGCACTTTATGGGGTTGGTACTGTCCCTCCTCCCCCTTTTTTTCAATGCTCTACTTTTTTGTACAAAACAGCCATTTCTGCAGTTATCAATGGCGAATCTTCACCTCACAGCATCCACGGTTTGGTAGCCTTTTTTTTTGTTTTTTTGCATTCCATGTACGTTCACAGCTGGACCACTGCTGGTCGGAAATCAATTAAAAAATTGTTTTTACAGTATCAATAGGCAAGTGGGTAATTCGAATTTCCCCGTAGGTGCCAAGAAAATTTTCATTTGAAATATTTTTCTATGACTGACGAGCTTATTCCTACAACCGACTTTTTTCATGCGGATCTTATTTCTTGAATTGAGAAAAAATATGGGACTTGATGTATAAATTTTTTCTTTCATTAAGTGTAAAAATGGATTAGCTATTTATATTTTTATCCATAGCAAAATTACATCAGCTTAAATTTCACGAGATATTTTGCTTCAAAAAATCGCATATGTTTTTTTATCGCATTGAATTCGCGCATTACACTCCTTAAACACTTCGTAAACTTCTTTATGTCTATAATCCAATTAAATTTTTAAAGTTAAAGAAAAAGTTTTACTTATCAAGACATATACTGTATTAGATGGAGAAATTAAAAATGGTATATTTATTTTATCTAAACTGTTTATAATTGTTTTGATAAATTAAATCTTAATCATCGTTTTTTGGTTTTTGATAATAAAGATATCTAACCACTTAAGTAGTAATTGTCACGTGCGATATCATAGCTACACGTACGTGCGCCCCCTCTTTTTGGGACCTACTACAGATGATTGTAGTGGGAAAGTGTAAAGCGATAAGCAGATAGGATACTGAAAGCAGCACTCTCTCTGGCTAGAACCGTCAAGGACGAAGGTCGTACACACGCGACGCGCTCTTCTCTCGTTTTTGCATAAATGAAGACGTTGATACTAGTTCCTCGACTATTTACTTCGTGCGCACCCCAAGACCATAGAATCATACGCAACAGTAATTGATACATGCAAATCATTTCTTAGGAAATATCCGGTTGATTAAAATGCACTAACTTGACAATAGTGTTTTTTTATCTATATTCTGTCTAATACTTTATTGACAAGAAAGCTTAATTTTTTGTTAATCGTACCATTATACTTTTAATTTAGTGTTTTAAAAGAAAATCAAAAAAAAAAAACAATGCAAATTGCAGTGCGTCGATTTCATTTTTGGGGCCTATTAAATTGCAATATAAAGATGTATTACTTATATAAATATAATTCTAAAGTTACTAACAGAAAGGCTCATTTTCCACGCATAATTTTTCACGTCTTTTCTCCGATATGTTTTCTGTAAACGTCAACACGTCAACATGTCGGTATCCTACTTTTAAAAAAAAGGTATGTCTTTGTTACTCTTAACAAATCGTACCTTTCACTGCAAAGACAATTTAAATTT